TGATCTTCCAAATTTGTGAATTCGCTCCAAGTGGGCTGCTGTTATTCCGATGAACCTTGCTTTCCTACAATTGTCAAATAATTTAACCGAATGTATTTCTGCCCATCGCGTGTGCTTCTAATTTATCCGAAATTGCCAGAATTTGATTTCCCTAATTTTGCACCGGGCTCGAGTTAAATGTAACATGCCACATTTGGTTTTTGCCCAGACTGACAGTTTTTCACCATATCCTCTTCAGTACTCCTAAGACACTCAGTATTAATCAAGGATGAAATAAGCACTCTTGTTCAGACCGACCAGGGCGTTACGTATCGCACAATGTCACCTCCAGGGAAGTCAGATATTATCGCCTCTCGAGACTACAAATATGCAGTTGCCTCTTGTGCGGTGCCCTAGAAGATTGTTTATCTGTCGGGTAACGATTTCGTGAACACACAAGCTAGACGGCCAACAATTTGTCCTAATGGTTCAAGGTTTTGGAAGCGACAGATGCAGCACCAACAGCACCAAGAATGAAAATTATTCATATTTTATCTTCAGTATGATTCCACCAGGAAAACGCCGCACAACCATTCAGCACCTCTGCACCATACACGAGCAAATATTCATTTTAATCAAACAAGATTATGAACAAGAGGAGAATCATCGATTTTTAAAAAATTATTTTAGCAATGCCAAGTTAGTCACAGAATTTAACGTGTCTGACCCTACGCATGAGTCTTGGTGTTACATTTCCGAATGGAGTTTTTGCGTGTTAGCTTATATATGATTTTGAGTCCATGCGCAAAATTTTATACCTGAAAGATACACAGAAGTATTACCTGGAACTAAATGGTGCTTGCTGTGGAGACATCATCTACCTACCTAGGGCACTACGGTTGTCGATCCTTTTAGAACCGTGTTCTATTGGCAGAAATTAGCTTATTTCGATCAGTCAAGTTAATTCTGTTTTCCCACAACAGTGAGAAGTTTAGTTGTATGACATTATTATTGGCGTTTAATTATGAATCCACCTTCAATAGTTCCCGAAATATGATATTGTAGTTTAGGAGTCAGCGCTGGCAAAAATCTGTCGACTGAGATAAACATGCCAATGTCAATACGTTTTACAAAGATCTACATGCTCACAATTTTTAGATATTTTGATGTTCCTCACCTACATCTGAACGAATAATAAGCCGCCAACCCTTCTTCTGGGTAAATCCTACACAATATTAGGAAATTATTTTTACTTAAATGAACTGGGATGATGCAATTTTGAAAATAGCGACAGGGTTTCAGTTGCGTGGGCTAAGATACGTTAGGTCTATAGAATGGAATTAAAACTGAGCCGGGAATGTAACGATGGCCGAAAAAGGTTTTGAATAATAATTTACTATTTTGCGTATTAGGATTTCATCTTCAGGCGTGATCTATGACAGTGAACAATGATTATTGGGATAGCCAACTGATTTGGATGAAAATAAAAGCGCAAAAGAAACCATAAAAATCTGAAGCTTACCTGGTACTGGGGTACCTTTGTGAAAAAATTGGGAAAAGTTAATTTTACCACTACTAGAAGTTGAGTGGAACTGTGATGACAGTTTTATCGATACTTTATGAACTTACATGTCGTCAGAAACGCCACGCTCAGCAGCAGCATTGCAAATGTTACGCGCATTTTGATCAAATATAAATTTTGTCTCGTCAAGCAGCTGTTTAGAATATTTATATAACCCCAAAATAGTGATAATGGCTACACTAACCTAATCGATTTAGCTGTCAGTCCAGTGGAAAGATTTTGCGTGCAAGGAAACGCCTCAAAATTCAATAGTTTTACCTGTTTCATGTAGAACAATATAGATCATTGGTAATAATAACACTGATATCTTCCAAGTTGTTTATTGATTTGCAATCACTAAGTTTCAAGAAAGTGAAAAAAAATCCCTGAATATCCAATCAAGGTGGACAAACAGAAATATAAAAAATTGATACAAATCTCGAAAGGGTACGTAGTTTCCATGTCAACAATTCTGTCAGCACCACCTGCTCAGAAGATTATTACGCTAATTACACACTTATATCTTCGAAAATCGTGTGTTACGAATCTTGTACAATGGGCTATTTGAGGATTTTTAGATTTTTAAGCATGACATCCAGCAAGAACAATCTTTGGTAAACGCTCGGATCTTTAGTTGTATACGAAAAACATGTAGCAAACGTTTTGTCTGAAGAAACCCTATCTAGAAGAACCATATGCAAGCAGTGCTATCATAAGTAAACAATATTAATAGAAATGAATTTCATTCCTCGAACAGCCTCACGTCTGATCAATTAAAACCTCCCCAGCTACCATAAAACTTAAAAATATTAGAGCTCAATTGTGAATATATATACTAAATTATAACATGAAATTTTGTGTTGGGATAATACAACTTATCAACCAGTAAATCAACCTTTAGCTAAGGTAGGAGCACAATTACTGCTTTCAAAGTACATTATTTGAAAATTAGGCTGCTGATCTTCAGGCCTATAAGATGGGCGTCCTCGGCAAATTTTCTCAAACAGGTATTCTCCTTCAATGCCAAACTTGCATAAAGATTAGGAATATTAAGGAAATGCGTCTACGTTATGAAGCACAATAGAGACAAATACGCGTTGCCGGCTTTTGGCAGCTAGAAAAATGTAGTGGCCTTATCCTGTCCACCGGTCGTCTAGTTTTTGAAGGAATAATAATAACGATAATATTAAATTACCAAATTGCCACTAATCCACTTGTATCTGTTCTACACATCAGACTGTTTATGCATTCAGGTATTTTTTTCAGACAATCCTCAGAACTATCCTTAGCTCCTCAACACAAAGTACTCTAGAAACTGTTACCGAGAATACTAATAAACGAACAATTAAGAAACGATAAGTTACCGAGTTAGTTCTGCTTGAGATGCATGCATTAACCATTAGACCAAGCCGGATTCCTAAGGGCCAGAACCAGATACTGTTTAAAACGGTAGGAACGTTTAGGTACGGAAAACTATTTGCAAGGAGCACTGCAGCTCGTAACCTTTCAAAGAGGATGCTTGAACCAAACTAGTACTATGAAGCTTAAGCCAGTCGACCTCACCGACATCCTTCATGGTTTTCGAAAACAGAAGACCACACGTGCGAGGTACGCCTACGTCTACGTATTATATAGGTTCCAATAGCAGGTTCAGTCTGGCGAGAGTCGACGTAACGAGCTATGCACAACAGCTCTTGCATTCAGCTGTAACAAGCCTAGGGTGTCAGTTTAAAGCGTTAGTCGACAAACCAAATGTCACTCTCCTCACCAAAGCATCAGCTAACCGTATACAGTAGACTCTGGTTCTTGAACCTCATTTAAATCACATACGTCGGGGTTTGGTAAACTTGACTAAGTTCGAGATGTACGCAGTAAGGAAGGTAGTCTGTCCGGCATCTGAAGTGAACAATCCGAAGAAAGCATTTCCACAATTACTCGGAGCTAATAAATGAATCCCATTTAGGAGTTGCCATTTAAAGTCCTGAATAAATGAGGTATCAGGGCTTTCTTTTGAGCAAATGAACACCATGCGATAACGTTCTCAAAGGCTACATTAGCTAGCCTTTCAAAATGGTCAACTTCCAAATGGAAACCGGTTGTAATCACCTGCGGTACTGCACTCGTGTTCACCTACCAGCAGTGGTTTGCTGGCGCCGATTCGTTTCTGATTAGACGGTTACTCATTAATGACAAGTAGTTCATTTGGAAGACAAGTTGTTTTCGCGTTTCTTACAGATCTAGGAAAGTGCAAATGACACAAATCGCAAGTAACATTGAATGTGTCTGAAAGATTTCCTAATCCAACATAGCAAATTTAGTTGTATTCAACATAGGACGCAACTTTGCTGTTCAGGAAAATTCGTACGATGATGATTTTGTGGTGTTGGTTATAGCTAGAGGATGGCAACAAAAATTGGCTTAGTTTTCCTGAAATTCTACTACCGAGTGAAAAATCTGAAATTTTTAAGTGCATCAGTTATGAATAGCTTCTTTTGAGTGTTTGTGGACTTGTGATTTGAATGTATGAATGCTACGTCAGCTAAGATTGGGTGATAAAATTTTGACTTTTCACCACGAGCTGGATTTCCGTAAGGCAAATTACTTGGACAGCAGTGTCGTTTTTGTTGTCTTTTTGAAGCTGGCCGAGTGTGACGAAATAAGGGCTGATATTCACCTAATGAAAAAATCACAGCGCTAGATCTTTAAGCATGTAAACACATTGCAGTTTACATTGAAGGCCTTGAAGCTTGTTGGCTGAAAATCCTGAATAAGGACGTATATTCGCGCCCCGAAGACACTTAACTCTAATACAGGGCGAACAAAAACGCATCAAAAGTGGTCATGCTACTAAAAATGCTTGAAAGAATTTTAGCTATGAAATTCCCTATACCAAATCTCAGTGGTATCTAAACACCATTCCTTGTCCTAAAGTCTGTTGCGATCTGCCCTTCTATGAGATCCTCGACAAATTTACCGTAAAGCTGCCGTAGAATTTGCCTTAAAATCTGGTTAAAAACCTAAGGAGTACCGGACAAAACCTGTGTGGGTTTTGCTAAACGGATTTGGTGTCACAAGACATATAATATGGAATTTTACAGGCAAAACACAGCGTAGTAGAATATGATGTTATGATCCAGTGTTTCGGCTGCCTCCGTTTGTAATTGCGTTGATCATGATGCCCCATTGCTGAGATTTCTGCTTGACCATTAAGCACTACGACTACCAAGGTGTGCCAAGGTGTTCAAGCCATGTCGGCGGAACTCTGTCTCCATCATAACAATTGATGGAGATCGACTGTGTGTTGGTCTCTAGCGCACGCCGGTTACATATGCGAATTGAATTATGAGTATGCGTATGCCACCGAAGTTCATGTGATGGCTTGACTCAAGTACGTGGAGTGCAACAGTTGAGTTGCGTCCAGATTTTTAGACTGGATCCGACTTCGCAGAGAGAAGCGTACGTGTCTTTTGCGTTCCGCGATTTACATATGAAGCTGCCTGACCATCTGAGCTGTGTATTTGGCCTTTAGCCCTCACATGGTTTCGTTGTTTGGCGTCATCATTTGGAAAGAATGCTCGGGTATCACGATCTTGAAGAATCATTCTAATGACGTCTAAAGTGTTATTTCTATAGGGTATTGCCATGGTTACTCCCGGATTTTTGTCTCACTGTTTCACCATTCCGGGTGACGTGCTTCATTCACATTTGTTAGGCGACGAGGGTAATATCCTACTGAAACATTGCAATTCATCATACGAATCATTCGAGCATAGTTTCCTAACACAATTTACCAAAGTTTCGACAAACGGCTCACTTGGCGGCGAAGACACACTATGCAAGTACCTACCTAAATGTTTTGGTTCTCTGTGGCACTCCATTACGAATCCATGTTTGGCGCTGATAGATAGCTTGCAATCCAGGAAACTGAGAGTTCTTGGTTCGCTCTCAGCCCACATCATGAATTCAAGCAGTTTAAGAAATCTTTCCATTACGTTTCTGATATGGTAGCAGCTATGTCATCAAACTACCTCAGCCAAATGGATGGTGGATCGGCAAATTAACGTAAGACTTTAGCTTCATTAAGGTGCAAGGAAATATCAATCATACTTGGTTATAGTGGGAAGCCCTTAGCGACACCATCAGTTAGTTTATAGAGCATGCTTTGAAAACAAATCATGTGCTGCTTACAAACAGTTGCCACCAGTAATAGTACCAAGGGAGGATAACAGGTGCGCAATGAAGCACAGGAGGTCAACATACTACCGAACTGCCTCAACCGTAGTGATGGCGCCAGAATCCTGTCTGTCTGAACTGGACTCATGCACACCTTAGTAGTAGACATAGTAGTAGACACAGTAGTAGACCGCTACTAGACATAGCGGTCAGAGATCAAGCAGGAATCCCAGTAAATCTAAGACAAACTGCAGACAACCCTGCGCACGATTCCCACACAACCGTAAATGCTGGTCTCGTCGGATTGCCAAATGATCTCGAAAACACACCAATTAGAAGCCATGATATCGGACCCGAATAATGCCGCATTTACCTCGTGTTCAAGTAGTCGTAGAAATCCTAGAAAAGGGTTGACCTTGGCAACAGAAATGAGCCACTATAGTGTATTTTGGCGTTCTATGTTCCATACTGGTTAGAACCAATTTCCACAAGTGACTGCCATGTAGCAGCCTGTTTTTTGGTAACAGTCAATCACTCTTGGAAGAACAAGCAAATAAAGCAACAACCTTGCATGAAAGTGGCGCAGGAAAATAGATTCTCAACCAACTGACGTCAACTAAACATACGGAGCGTACTATCTCCAATATTATGGTGAGGTTTTAAAGTTAGTATCAGTTTTGCAGAGTCTCCAGTAGTTTGTTTTAAAATCCTAACTATTGCTTTCTAGTAAGAAAATAGAACTGCTTACTTTGCCTGACCTTTTGCAAACGGACTAGTGGTCTTGAAGATAGTGTTACCCTAATACATTTCAAGTGGGCCGCAGAAAATCCTAAAAGCATATCCAGTTTCACCGTTCAATGAATCACTACAACAGCTCACATCAAAATACAGACACACAATTTACACACATGATTTAGATAAATTACCATCTGAGAGCGCAAACCTCTCCAGTTTACCGAAACAGTATTTTCTAACTCTCAGCATATCGAGATACAAATATAGGACAGTTAGGTCGCTAGCAAGGAACTGATTCGTATGCGATTGCACAGTTAGACATGAGAGTGTTTTCGTACGTGATGGTATCTTGACACAGTAGGTGGACAGCTGTATGCTGTCCGCCTTTTGAAACGTGTTTACCACCGAAGCAGTGAGGTCAGATCAAACCTGACCCCTACAATTTGACACATTCATTTAGCTTTATTCTTTCAGTATGACCAGAAACTGCCGATTCATTTTCGACGAGCAAGCAACTACCACCAAATGAAGCACATAATTTCTAACATATGTGAAAATAGTGATGGCGAATCCTCCTGATTTTTAAACCGATTTTGCGTTGGCGTCTTAACTTGACCGACTACGTATTGGAGCAAGTAGAACCGGTTCAATGTTCACCTTTAGTAGCACTAACTGTTTTGCACAAAACGCTTTTCATTCCCGGCCTGATAATGCATATTAATCGATTGTGAAACACTCTTTAGGTATCCTAAAGATTGGGAAATGTTAAATTCGAAGGATGCCCTTAGAACCCTCGAAATATGTCTCACACCATTTCTATATGAGCTAAAACATGGAGATAGCATAGGTTTGGGACTGCGTCAGCATGCTGCGTTCCATGGAAGGGAAAACTGGTCTTGGGCTTTCAAAGAGTTTTAACAACCACATGAGTATAGTGTTCTATTGAAGATACAATGACTGAATTTACTTCCTGTGAGAAGTACTAGCAGAATGCAATTCAAACTATTCTACCGAAGACCGTTAGACTGTTGAATCAAACGTTTGGAAGATCTAAGCCGTGTGCCAAGGACTTATTCGTTTGAAGTTGTCCTCAGACGAATATCACCCAGTTGGTCACTCTGGTCTCTTGCAATTCAGAAAAGCCTGAAATCAAAAAGTATCTACACCAGCGTTACAATAACGTACATTCATTAGGCGAACATGTTCCAGGTTTATGGCAAGATGAATATATTCTAAGCTGAAAATGTCCTCGGAATAACTGAAAATGCTCACATGCTCGTAAGTCAGGCTAAAAAGGCGTCTATTCATTTTCGAAAACAAAAATAATATGTCGGTAGTTGCTGTCACAACGACTAAGTTACTGCAGAATATTTGGTGCGATCACAAACTAGACTAAACCCGCCTAAATAATACTGTGGATCATTAACAAGGCCTGGATACTCTTTAGGAATACGTGGCATTGGGCCCGGTTGCACATTTACAGTGGGAGCTGATTGTCTGTACAAAAGTCTGCTAAAAGTCTGGCGGGATTTGAAAGACTTTGATAGAAATTCCAGGAGGCGGATAAAATAATGCCTTGTTATACAGACTATCTCTTGAAAATCGCGAGCCGAATTAACGATGTGTTATTCAGTAGATGTAATGCACTACTCATAAGAACATTATAAACGAGAGTTTCGGCTCGGTTCCAGATGAGTCTCCCATGAAACCGAAATGGTATGCAGATTAGCGTATAAGCTGACAGCCAGTTAACTTTTTATAAGGTACAACATAGGCATGGTTAAAGTTGAAAACATATTTTTACTCGAATTCGGAACACGGAATAAACCAAATCTTGTACCTTACTAAATCCATCGCACTGAATTTGAATCCTGCTTAGTTCGCAGTGCTGCATAACGACTACATGGGACAAAAATGAGAGTAGCGAGAAGCGGGTCGGGGTTCTGTGGATTTGAAGCTGATTTACCACAGTTTCCAGTGTGGTATTGTCTAATGGACCTGTTTTGATTTTGCTGAATTGTGCCTAACATCTTTCATCTTTCGAAATGTTTACAAGTTTTTGTTCTCTAAGTGAAGCTGATCTATGCTGGATAGTCGAGAAACAGTGTACATTGCAGCATGGTTGATCCAAATGGTCACCGGTGCGTATGTCACAAAACTCCAGGGAGTATGAAACCCGCGACCTCCAGACTGATATTCCGTACACTCAGCCATTCGCTCAGGAGCGTCAGATCATCAAAGTTATTAATTTGTACTTAGACGATATGTAGTGTCATTCAACCTCTAATGACCTCCATTCTTGTGTACGTTTGAATTAAGCATGCATTTAATCAACATCTTGTAGTCGAAAATTTAGTATTTTTACTACTAGCCCGCAGTTACCGGGTCCGAAAATTACGTGAAGTTTTGTGCAATGCGCACTGCCGATAATTCTCAATAGGAGTCCAACAGCAGTGAGGCATTTCTTGATTTTCCAGAATAGATACTAACCTAGAGCTCTCACCTTGTCCTAGTGATCGTGTTTCCTCGCTGCAAAGATCGACGGACTAAAGTTGCTTCAACTCAGTTCCAAACGGTTCAACGGATCCCAAAAGGCCAAAAAGGTGCAGAAGGAAGCGAAATCCTAACGCGCAAATCCGTACTACCACGCGATCTGGAGATAAATCCATTTTGTCCTCTACACTTGAACAGTTAGGCAGTAAATCATTCCCTTCTAAGGATCAGTTTGTCTATATTCAGGGAAGCAGCGATGCTGCCTTCCTCCTGGGAAGGATGAATTAGAAAAGATCGGCTTTAAACATTGCACAGTACAACGGCCCGACAGGTAATTCACCGGCGCAATACCGGATAAAGTCTAAATGAGTTTAAAGGCAAAGGACTTGCATTGCCCAAAAGATACATACTGTGAATTAGGATTCAGACAATTATATCATACTCCTTGTGCCATTAGACCATATCAGGCTTGCAGCCAGGTGGGTCAGGCTATGGAGTCGTTGTGTCAGGGAAAGGTTTCTCAAGAAAACCGTTACAACCATTATTTCACGGTTCAGACTTTTCGTTCACGGCCAAAGTGACAGTTCCGGAACAAAATACCGCATCCTACCATTGTTTTGTGGGCCACATTTTGTGTAACATGTCAATGGTGGTATAACTCACTCTAACCCCCTTGTTAAGCCTGACCAACCACGGAGTGTTATTCCCTCTTACAGACACTCGTTTACTGACACCCACGCGTACGTGCTTCACCCAAGTCCCTTTGACTGTTAGTCAACTAATCGGTGTTCTATCCCTAAGCTTATCTCAAGTGAATTGAATCAAAACGAGTTAGAAACAAATTAAAAGGATCTGTTCCGTATTGCTGCTTTCATAGCGCGTAACCTTTGTGGAATTTGGCAACAGGTAGCTGCTCAAGTTTTCTTATATAGACGATGTCGTGGCTTCGATGAACGCTCCACGTAAACCCAAAATCGCTGTCGACAAACCCAGGTTTATCCCAATTTTTTCTCTGTGCATCGTACGCAATGGCTAGCGGCGTGAAAGTTGTGCTTGCCCCTAAGGCCGAATGCGACTTACTTGGTTGTATTTCGGAAAACCGCCGTCCTGGCTCTGTTATGTTAATTGATTCTATCAAAGATCATTGCGCTCGGATGTAGTTTACCTTTGTTTCTTACGCCATCATAAGTTTCTGCAAACAGCAGCTGAGAACTTCGGCTTTCTTCTGGATTTCTCCGTCACT